CTTATAATCCACTAAATGAGTTATCGATTAGAGTCGAGGATATACAAATAGAAATTTGAAGACCGTCTAAAATAAGTTTCGAGATCTTTGTAGGTTGATAACCTAACATTCGAGTAATGACGCAAGGGCTTTTGAGCAGGTCCTGGGATGTAGGTATCTAGTAAAAAGGATGCGGTTGGAAATGTTCTTTCCGAGAACGCAGAATGATTTATGTGTTACGAGTACATAACATTATACCAAACCACAAAGCAAATCTTAACATAACTGCCAGCACAAGACCTTGAGAGTGATAAAACGTTATCGTTTGATAAAGGGTATTACGGTTGATTGTAATGGGCGGGTCGACGACCGGAGCTGGTTGACCTCAAAAATTGAGGTCGCAACATTTTTTTAATAAAAGTAACATGAAATAACACAACAAACTGCTGACATACATTTCGAACACTGAACTGTGCACCATTTGCTATTAGGATCTTCATCAAAAATCTTTGCGAAAAGTGATAAGATCGCCCTATAATCTCGGTCATTTTGGCATTGTTACGCTCCATTAATGGCGAAATCAATTTCACCGGTAAACCCATTAGCATTAATTTATAATAAACTTCTAGTGCGGTGAGATTTATTTTCACTTTTCATTGTAAAAATGAAAGTGTTTCAGAAGCGTGTCGAGTGGCGGTCTACCATTTCACAAAACTCTTACTCTTTAGAAATCAAAGCAATTTGGTTTTAATATTGAAATGGTGTCGACGACCCCTCGGCTTGCATGATTCGAAGGTACTTGTTTCTAATTTGACACAAATTATTTCTTTTCACTGTCACTTTTATCTCCCTAACCGTTCGCCTCTCGCTCACTTTCGTATGTCGATGCAATAATCCCATCCTTGTTTACATAAAGTAGATTTCATCGGCCTAGTTTCGGCAACGGTTCAACTAACTTAAACTGGGACTGCTTGCTAACTTCTGAGGTAAAAACTATGACGTATACACTTTCGCATGACGAATTTTTTTCCTAATAATTTACCGAATATAATGATTTCGAGTAGGAGAATTTTATTATCGCGTGGGGGTTACTGGCCTAATAATTGCTTTTGAGGAAAGTTCTCGGAAGGCCCGGGAAACTCAGGGTGAAAACCCTCAGCTGTCACGTGCGCCAACCCTCCTGGATGTTTGAAGGCCAAGTGCGCGCTTTATCGATTAAAACAAAATAATATATTCGCGCAGACTGCTTTCTGCTTACAATTTTCGGCGATAGATGGCGATCCCTGTAAGAATTTTTCCTCCCGCTAATGACTGTACGGGCAACTTATTCGGTATTTTAATACCTACGTAAATTCCTCTCATTTAGTCATTTCATCCAACTTATTTATCCGTTACGGTTACATAGACAATTTACTTTGAAAGGCTATCACCTTGGGGAGACTTTTATGATTTTGGAAAGTTTTGTCGCCCTTTATTAAATCAGGAAGATTGAGATTAAAAAAGCGTCATTTCAATTGCTACAATATGCATAGATAACGGAGATGGATGTAAACGTTTGAATACGTGTCCGTGAACTTGTAGTGCATCCAGAAATTCCCGGGATGTTTCCATGCCAACAATGCACGTGTTCAAATCAAAATCAACTTTTGCTGTAACCTACTAACATTCGCAGGGAAAAAAATGTGTAAATAACATGAACATATTCAAGATTATGAACATTTTTAGAGTAATGATCGGGCTTTATGACCGATATGGTAGACAATAATCGTAAGACTCATTTTCTTCACCCCAATTTAAGATCGCCCCTTATGAAAACAACCCCCTACACATTTATATCGATTGCACGCGAATGCAATGTAGGGTTCAACCAACAGAAGTCACCATGACAACACCCTAATAGTGCAGGCATCCAGACGTCTTGCACTGGTCTCAACTTTCACCACCCTGCACTCTTCTACAGCAGAAATTTGCCCTTAAACTTGTAATCGTATTTTTAGCACAATTTACTCGCTTCTAACTTAAGGAAAATTACCTCGAGTAGAAAAAATATAACGCAAAGAATACATTGTCCGCAGATTTAGATTAATTCCGATACAGGTGTAAACTGTAAAGTTTTTACGAAAATCCGTTAAAGGTGTGAAATAAAAAGGGATCAAGTGCGCTAGACGCATAGGGGGTGAGGTAAACCGCACCCTGTTGTAGCAAATGCAGAAGGAATGCACGCGCACCGCGTAAAGGGCGGAGCTTAACGAGGTCAGGGACCTGCTCTTCTGTCTATCCCCTACTCATCCGCTGCCAACACTTGCCCTCGACGTCTGGACGCTACTGAACTCATTAGTCTTGTATTAATTTAATCCCCATAGTACAAATTTATTAGTTCACACGGCGTTTCTATTTTTTAATTTTTGTTACGTAATCGAAGTTCCCTATACTAATATCTGGCCATCCTTCCTAATGTTCATTTTACTGAAACAATTCTGCAGAATAAAGAGACATTATGCTCTCACATTTTGCATCTAACACGAGTACATACCGTTATGTTACTGAATAGACGCATCTAGTTTTTTCCCAAAAAAAAGCCAATTCCTAACCCTGAGAAAAAAGGGAAAAAAACCAAATTTTCCGGTGTTTACCAACCCTTTAAATTTTAATACACTAGTTGGGACAAACTAGAAAAATAAAAATGTACAAAAATAAGGAGGTTAATCCTCCGAGACAGGGCAGTAAAAAAATCTCTACTTCATTTATATTATTTATAATTTACTAAACACTTCAAAATGATCACATTTTCGAAAAGTAAGTACCTATGTACAGTATCAAAGTTTGTGTGTTATAATCTACTGGGTTTTAAATCAAACGGATCCAATTATCGAAAATGGATGTCGTATTATACTACTTGGGTAAGACTCATCGGGTTCATAAATATAAAATGACAATTAAATCCTCGTATAAATCAAGTAGGTACATAAAACCTATGTACAGTGACTGTTCTGCTGCTTCAGTGAAAAGCAGGCCAAGATTGGACAGATGAAGCACTGCCGTGGAGATATTATACATCTCGACGGCAGTGAATGAAAGTAAAAAGTAATTTTGGGGAACGGGCAAGCGAACAAAGTGCCCCTAATGGAAAAATGGTCGTGTAACAAAGATATAAAATGAAGTAATGTTGATGACCCGAAAAAAAGTGCCATGTAAAAGTGGCTGTAATTTTAATTTTAATTGAAAATTCGAAACCGTTGCGAGTTATCATGTACACAGACGGACGGACAGAAATCAAGAGCTCGTTAATAAATTTAGATGAACACCGGGAATAACAATTTTAGTATCAGTGATCGAATTTTGCCCTTTATTGACATGATCAACAATAGTCGCACACGACATTTACTCGGAGCGGTGACCGAATGGGAAAATTTTATACACAAGTAATAGGTACGTTGATATTTCATTATAATAAGGTATCTTTTATCAAATTTCAATAACAAATCTCTAGTAAAAATAAAATTAGTCTTTGAAACGGGCGAACAAAGTTACCAACTAGCAAAAACGCGCCATTTTTATTGCAATAGTCTCTACCTGAACTTTTATTTCATTATACCTATCTCTGTACTTACTCTATTAATTACTTGATAGTGTAAAAGATAAAAGTTCGATACCTGTAAGCTTCACAGAGCATAAGAGGTGTTCGTAACGAGCAAGATTACACACGCATTGGTTTCTGTGTAGGGTGAAATCACGTATTAAAGGGGGCGGATGACTCAACTTAAAGGCCCTTTAAAGTAAAGGGAAAAACCGATCGACAATAAACAGATCTCGTTGATTTAGTAAGAAGGAATGATTTCACCTTTCTGCTATTACCATAGGATCGGGGGGTGAACGCGTGCCGTTAACCTTGGCCCGGGTTTGCGAGGGCGGTTAGCTCGTGCTCTCGCCCGAATTTCTCTGGTAAGATTCAAGGTCCGCGTGCATAAAGTACAATCGATGCGGGGCCTTTCGAAAAAAAAATTATATGCACGCGTGCGAAATGAGAAGGGAGGAATCCTCTTTTAGAAAACCGGCGAGCATCTGCTGTCGAGCTATTTCAATACTTAATTCACCCTCGCCCTTTTTAATCGCTCGCGAAGCGAAGGTGTTTTTGCCCTCTTGTTACGTGCAAAGCCTGTGGGTTATTGTTAATTTCAAGACGGTGACCTTGTGTGGTTGTGGACTGTGGTTTTAGTCTACATTTATTGACAAGTACGTGTATGCGAGGTATGCCGCCTATTCACAAAAAGAGGAAATTATCCTTAATGAAAATATTTTTCACGGTCGATAATGCTGCAACTTTCAATGTTATCTATGAATTAAAGGGCGAATTTATCGACACACCTGTCGCGATCATCCGAGTGTACCTACTGTCCACTCTTCGTAGGTATATTATTATGCAATTTTACGCATAGGGAGTATAGGTCAGGGTTAAGCGGTGCTTATAAATATCGTACTCAACAGTGAGTAGACAACGCAATCTACACGCATGATTTGCGGGAAGTATAAAATCTGTTTCATTTCAAAATTCCTCCAACAGGTTTAACTGTTATTATAGAATTATTAATAAAATGCGTGTCGGTTACCGTACTTAGTCAACTTAAGGTATTAAATGTCAGGATATATTATCGAGATCGGTATTGCAGCGCCAAGTATTATATTTCCTATCTACCCTTGACGGAAGATATGTACCTGAAAAAGGTTGGCATTTTATGTAAGATAAAAATTATCTGTTAAGGACTAAAGAGGTTTATGTAGAATTAATTGCGAAGGTCAGGCCCGATTATTTATTTTGACTTGCCAACAGTTATCCACCTTATTTCTCCACGTACTCCTTCGTGAATACGCGACAAACTTGAAACTGGTAAAATAGCTCGTAGAATTAGATAAAGCACCTGTTTCCCATTAGTACGGATTATAAAAATAGCGTGAACGAAAAAATAAGTTCGGATTTGTTTACATCACGTGATTTACTATTCGATTAAATGAGAACAACTTACCAAGATCTGGGATGGAGCTGGACGGTTCTTCGTGTACTCTTTCGACCTTGATTTCGGTCTTTGGCTTTGGGGGTGGTGGTGGTGGGGGCGGTCGCATGGTCGTCGAAGCACCAGGTGATAACGAGGTTGATGTTACAAGGGGTGTCGTGTTAGGAACACGAAACTCCTTAACGTCGGAAAATTCCGTTTTAAATACCAGCGTCGTTGTTTGCATTATCACTTTTTTTTTTAGATATATTGCACTTTTGAACGACTCGTACAAAAATAAGTTAATCCCAAAGTCTCATGTTTATAAAAGAACTGTCAAATTGGTTGCCATGCAGTATGTGATGCGTTCGCGGGTTGAATGAAAGTGAAATGAAATTGAAATGCAGTTAAGTGTAGGGATGGCGCGCTTGCGCTGCACCCTTGGAGCCCTTTAGTCTGTCTGGCACATGCACTAAAAGTACCGACCCCCGAAGAAGGGTAAGTATTCGTCGTTGCGTATGTGGATGTTTCACTGAACGCGACTGTGAGGTAATGCGAGCAAATGCTGGCGCGAATGTGAGCGCTCGGCTCTTGCGTCGCACCGTGCTCGCGGTTGGCCTTGTCCTTGAAATCGGCTTCTGAACCCGGGGCAGCGCGGACAGCTTATCGATTTCAGTCCTCACTCCCTTTACGTCGCATTTATAACTCTGTTTTCACGCCGAATGAACTATTCAGGAATGATTAAAACAGTGTAAATAAAGATTCGAGATTCCTGCCTCCATCCATCACAATCCTTTTACAGTCGTCGCGAGTAGGTCAATTTGCCGATACAATAAATAATGCGCTTCTTTACTCCACTTCGTTTCCCTTTCAATTAATGCGATCCTATCAATCCTATGGACGCAAACCTAATCATTCTTTCATTAGACTAATTTCTAAGTACAAACGCAAATTTTCTGTAATGTCATATACCTACAGGGTGTTCCTAAATATGATGTAAATACGGAAGGAGCCAAGTCTTTAGCTTATTTTATAATTTATAACTATAAAAGCTCATATTAGGTCCACAAACGCTTCAACCAACCTACAGGGTGTCAGGTGTCACAATTTCACAGCTTCTTGTATAGGTATATACGAGGGTGTCTATCTATACAGGCTGATTCAAATTCGAGGGCCACCATGGGGATTTCGGGAACTATCTACTTTTAAATTTTACGTTTGACGTTTCGTCTTCACTTAACCATCATCAACTTTGGTTTTTCTTATGGTCTATGGAAGTAATTTGTACTGTTTGTGTCATTTGATAGAGGAGTGGGAGGGGGGGGGGTACACGGGTCTGTTGTGCAGTACGGTACGTTTTTCGGTAATTAAGGTACCTACCAGTTTCAAATTTTATGAAAGTAATTCAAAGTCACTTCGCGACATTTTGGTGAAGTTTTTGAATATTTCATTACATAAGGAATAAACCCCTAAAGCAGATCTAAAAAAGCATCTCGGTTTGACTCTACGGGGTCATTGGATTTGACCCATTTTCAATACCCGTATTATATCTGGCATATATAGCGTGGCAACCTAAAGAAAAAATATAACCACCCTCGGATAGATAATTAAAATCGGCATTAGATGTCACAAAAAATGCGTGCCTTAAGCCCTTTTTAAAAGTATAAAAGTTATAAATCGTTTTAACACGGCGAGTTCGTGATTATGACAGGCCAATCTTTATAGTGTAATTATTTCACCCTTTCGTGGTTGAAGTGAGATGATACTCAAAGGAACAATTTGTTGTAGTAGGTACCTAGCAAGTGAGACACGTCACTCCATGGCCAACCAGTTTTTACCAATTTTTAGGATTTTTAATTTAATTTTTAGGCTTGCACGAGACATCACAGTTGCCTACTTTTTTGTCATCCGAGGGATATTTCAATTATCTATCCGAGGATGTTTTCATTTTTCCTGTAGGATGAAATGGGGAGCAGGAATGGGGGTTTACAGTATAGTTGAATTCCGCAGTTCTAATTTAATAAGCGTGTACGTGAAACCATAAAACATTTTTTTGGACAGTAAAAGTTTATTTAAAAATAGAGGCTGATTAGCAAAAAAATAATGAACATGTGCGGTTTTAAAGGTTTATTCAAAACGATATGATTGTGGCGGGCTCTGTGACGTAATAAGCCCGACCAATCAGCTCCTAGAACCATTCAGATGACATAACGACTTGGCAATATTGCAGGAGAATGGCATTTATAACTTGCGTCATCTGTCACAGGCACTTGTCACTTTCGTGCTAGATGCAGTTAAACATCCCTCTCAAAACGTCAAATGTGACAAACGTCAGACCCTCGCGTAAGGTTGCCAGCTCACTTCTTCGTGATTGGTTGTAGGTTTGTGACGTATTTAGTCTGAAGCGTTTCAAATTCGGACTAAAAACACAGCTTTTCAATAATTTATGTTGGGTTTATTTTACTCGCAAATAAAAATTGAGGACACACGGGTCTTTTTATTTTTAATGTACTTTGTGGATCAGAAATAAAAAATGAAGGCGGGATGACCCCATTGCCGAAAATGTAATTTCCCATGTTCCCTACGTCGCGCCGTTAACTTGCCACACAGTATAGTTCAACTGTACAAAGTTTAAACCGAATAAGTTCAAGTGTTTGGCAGTTACTTATCGTGTTCACGTTCACGGACAGACGGACACCTTCGACTTTCCTATAAAGCTGGAAATTGCTTTGCACTGCCGGTTAATAATTAGTAATTAGTAATTTTTTGTACCTATGTTGCGGAATATTGGCATAACTCATAATTGACAAATATTGCGTGTAAGTGTACCCGCAGTTGAAGCTGGACTGCGATACCTGCGGATCCGTGGTTCGAATCTTGGTTCGGGCATTGATATTTGTAAATGTATAGTGGTTTGGGTTGGTAGAGCAGCCTTCGCTGAAATCCCGCCCACTCAAACATAAAGGCATAAACAAAATAAAAATAAATCAGAAATTGTTATTTAACTAATTTGTAAACCAGTATAAATTTTAAATTTAATAAACGTCAAAGGCAAGTAATTAAACGTGATCGCTGTTTTTTTAGGTAATTCCAAGGCATATCTGATTTATTGTAAAATTAACCTTTTTATTTTGTTGATTTCTACGGTTTTGAAAAACGGAAAATTATAAGTAATAGTGTGAACAGATGCAGAATTTTTTTCTCTAAAAAAATGTATTTAGACTTTTGCTCTATAATAATTTGGGGAGCTAGTAATTGACTATAAAGAAATTACCATTGAAATCCCCATGCTGCGTCGCGCTAGGCACCACCCCATACCTATATCTAGTGGGTAACAATTTTAAATCTTTAAATAATAATTTGATAAATCATACAATTATTTGCAATTAAGTTTTGTTTTTCATTTCAATCATTTATTCATATCTTCCAATCTGTATTTGAGAACACGGAGAAAGAGATAAGATTAAGGTAAATGTAGTTCCGTGGAAGCGCAAGGGTGGGGCGGAGGCTTAGTTTCTCCTCCCCTCTTCCAACCGAAAACTGAGCTCCTAAATTGATAAATGACAAGACAAATAGATATGGCAAAAATATGATTCATTGAAATGTAGTATAGTTCAAATTTTGATGTTTGCAGTAGAAATTAGTAGAAAATGAGTACAAAATTATGGCACAAAATCTGGGACAATTATGACACAAACATTACTTGGGCTTGTGGCTCTTTAATGGAAATGATTCTGAAAATGACCGAAATTTGGTACTAAAATTTTGATAGATAAAGAAGTTGTAACGAAATTCTCGTTTTGATTTGCACCCTACACAATAAACGTCAAAATAGTCCTAAATTAGTGCCAATGAACCAATTTGGTTTGTTAAGTGCAAAAGTTAAAATTTAAACGGTTTAGTAATAATTTATTATAGAAGCAGCTAAAAGCTCAACTCCTCTCTGTGTTACATAGGCTCAGTTTGGTTTGATAAAAAATAATGACAATTCTGTTCGTTATAATTCGATTTATGCTTGTGTTTGTTCTATGAAATCTCTAAAGATTGTTTCACATTTAAAATCATGAAGTTTCTTAAATTTTAGCATCGCAATTGTGAGTATGTTTGCGACCCAATTCAAAAAATATAATCGGCATTAGTTTACTATTCGTAATCCGCCTATAGTAATTTGAATAAAAACTGACAACAGAATGCACAACGTGGCGTAGGTTTCACAATCTCCTGTAGCTTATTATGCCTACATTTGGCTTATTAGGCAGAAGTTCAATATTTGTGGGATGATTAAATGCGTAGGAACGCCGCTGTGGGTTTCGAAATGGAAGGGATGTAAATCTCACCTTGACCCTGAGTAACTCTCAAGTACTCTCGCTCTCGCCCGGGCTTCACATCGCTTGATTTGACCTACAAAAGTAACGTCCCATACATTTTCTCAACTGAAGTACATTCCATTTGAAGCTCCTAATTGTTTTGCCACATTCATTTTAGTGAACCGTATTTGCTAATAAAGAATTTGGAATGAACCCAATTTTCTTTTTCAAATTTCTGCGCTTATTATATTGTAATGTAGGTACCTTTTTGCACTAAGCCACAATATTCAACTCCTCTATCGATTAAATTTATTAACCGACACTTCCAGTACCTCGAATTAAATAATTCTGTTGGACAGTCAAAGGGCGTTGAGACATTGTAGATGCGTGCAATTTCAGAATATTCAATGACATTGCTTAAGATAACAATGAATCGGTCTCATGATTATTGAGTAATTATCAGTTTGGAATTTTGCACAAGGTCCAGTTAACCTTTTTATTGATAAAAGATATGCCATGTACTGTTTTTTTTTAGTTCAATGTTGTAACTGAGGATGTTCGTTAACTGCAAATAAATAAAAGAGGGCCATGAAACACTTAACACATCTCCTATTCAAATTAGATATTTTGAATTTTCGATATTTTTATGAAAATGACTTGTACCTATTTCTGTAAATGTTCTTTGGTTTATATTTACCTACTGACACAATAATCGTACATTTATAGATAGAGAGTATTGTAAATATGTATGCAATAAAAAATAATCTGGCAGTTTCAATGTCAGACGGTACAACCGGTCATTGCTCCCTCTATCTCTCTCTGTATGTACTCATATCTTGCTCAACCAATCTATAGTTACTAAAAACAAAGTCACCAATTGACCTATCAAATCAAGGCTGTAGAAAAATGCCCTTATTGCCACAACAACTTTAACGTACCTATTTCTGTTGTTTTAGCCGATCAATTCATCTACAATGTGCATGAACTAATCGCGTAGGTACTCAAAAACTGTGCATTTCAAGTTTTTAGAATTCTGATATGGCCGTTCAACAATTTGTTCTGATCATTGATGTGTTTGGTACTTGTACCTGTCACAAAAGCGTATACATTGCGTAACACAATAGTAATAGTAATAAATTAATAATAAGAAACCTTGGTATCTGG